GAAGTCAGAATTACCGTTATGCAAATTCACCCGTTTCTGTTGCTATGCTTTCAAAACTGCCCCTTCAGCCACGCAAAGGAACGGTAGTCCATTTTATTTTAAGTTTCTATTCTTAAGCGAAGTGTTCTAACACTTTGATTTCAATGGCGACAATTACAAATTCATACGATTATTCAGCTTTTAAGGAAAATAATCGCCTGTATTTACATTGCACCTTGTTTTGTTGAGTCTAGCTGTTGTTTTGACAATATTACCTACTAGATAAATTACACTTGCCCAAGGCCTAGAAATCAAGCCATTAAAAATTCCATCTCACTTTGAAGTGCGATTTATGTTAAATTGAAACATCTCCCTATCACGTTTTACCCTTACATAAGGTAAAAACAAAAATAATACGTGATACCGAAAATTGCCCTTCCTGTTTCTATGATAAAAATCGACGCGCAGCGTCGTTACCGCATCTTCGGTCAACGTAATTTTTAGCTGATTGACGGTTTCCTCTGTTACTTCCATTTCCGAGGACAGGCTAATTCTTATTCGGAATTGTCCTAGGTAACCGCTGAGTCTCTCCAGTTGAGATTTGAAGCAAGTTTCAACCCACAGTTTGAGTTTAAAACTTTAAAGAGTTGCAAACGCAAGCGTGTATATATAATTGAATGCCTATTTATTCATTTATTTACTTCATCTTTTATGACACGCGTTAATTTTCTTTGCGCCATGTTCAAAGCTGTATATTCGCCTCTTGTTAAAACGCTGGAGAGGACAGTTTACAGCTGGCTGGCGAAAGCTTTTAGCTTTACCACGAAATTGGGGGATCCGTGATCACAAATGTAAAATGAAATTCGAACGAAGGAACATTTTTCGCGAGTTGCATTTCAGTGGTACCTTTGTACAAAACAGAAATGTTTGCTGCGGTGATTCTACTAAAATTAGGCTTTTATGCTGAGATAGCGTAGTAGATGTCTTAAATGAATACAGTAAATACACCACATAGAGAAATCTGAGGAAAAACCGTATTTAAAGGTAAGCGTAAAATTGCATGAGACTGTGAGATTAATTGAGTGACTTAGTACAAGAAAAGTCGCTCTCTATTTCTGTTCGAATTTTGGTTTCAACGTGGATTGCTTTAATTTTTTAACTCTCAAATTAACTTACTGGAAATAGTTGATGTTCAAATGAGAAACAACAGCTGACTTTGAAACGCATATAATTTTCAGCGCTCATAAATAACGAAATTAGAGTAAGATAAATCTACTCCTGGAGTAGTTTTTTTGGTTTGTTCCGGGCATCAAACAAAATCAATTCCAAGACAAGTATATTCAATCCTCCAACATTCGAACGTGAGACTTGTCTTTAGTCCTACAGGTAAACAGAATGATCATCAAGCTTTTGGCTTTTCCAGTCGTTCAGATAGAAGAGCGCAGCGTTCAAATGGTGAAAAGCCTGTTAATAAATCGTACGCGGGGAAAAAGAGGCACGAGGACACATGCTAGATCTTATGGCTCAGCTCGTGATCAACTTGTGCTTTTTCACTCCTCTAAATCATCTTATTCTCGTTCTCAAACTTTTCTTCAGCAAAAATACTGCTCCCAGCAGTCACTTCAGTGACTGTCAGAGCAGTATTACCATTGAGGCCTGAGGAGGCATCTGAAACTTATAATTTGATTGCAATTACTGCTAGCAGCGGTGAAAGTATCGAACAGGCCATGCCAATAAACAGTACTCCAGAAGATGGGTTACAGAACATGCATGACGAGCTGCTAATGAAGAGGCTACTAGCTACGGACAAACTTTGCTCAGGTGCCTTTGCAAACTAGTGAACAACGTGTTAATCTTCGCATCAAATTTCCGAAAATTTACTTTAAAAAAGCAACCTTTTTGTTCGATTTCCACGATTCAGTTTTTAAGACCATTGATAATAATATCATATATCGAACGTGTATCTTTGGAACAACCTATATCACAAGCACATTTAATAAAGAATAAAAGTGAGTGAGTATTTGTATTTGTATTTGAATTCTGCCTCTTGTTTTGCTCTGTTATAAACCTCCACTAATATTTTTATTTTCATTTCGCTATTTTAAAATTACGGCTTAAAATCAATTTTCCCGTCACACATATACGGGGTTACCTTACTTTACAAGTAACTCGTAGCGAATCAAATTTACGGACTGTTTTTTTTGAGGTAATAAAACTGAGAATGAGTCTTTTGTGGCTGTTAAAGGCACAAAAAAGGCTCTTATATCATTCGAGTGTGGGTGCGAGGTACTCTGGTACTAAGGCTTAGTCAATATAGCGGACGAGACCACACCTATGGTTGACTTAACCAACTCAAACACTGTTTGTTTAGTTGTTTTTCAAGGGTTCTTAAACAAACCGAGTTTAATTTCACATTGCGTTTATCCTAGGCTTAAAACCATGATTCTTAGGTCGCTATTGTCAACGGCTGAAATAAGGAACCGCGGCTAATTCAGAATTTCTTTTAATCACGTATAGAAACACAGATGCGAGACTTGCAATTTACGAAAAGCTCATTTCTGTTGAATGTGACTCTCTTCCTAGTTATACCTTTTGTGTTTGATTTGAATGGCCATTTGTTAGCTCGATAAGTCCGTTTGTGAGGTGCACGAAACAAACACGCACCAAAGTCTCAATTTCCTTTCCTCTCTTTCGAGACAGGAAATGAGGGGTTGAACTTCAACAAAAACTTTCACATCCTCAGGCGAAGTTTGTAGAAAATTTAAATATGGATGTGCGCGGCAATGTTACATTCATGCGTCTTAATCTAACCCTAAAACAAAGAAAAGGAAAAGTTTAACAAAGGACAAGATTAAAAGCAAGAATGACGAATCTACGCCCTGACCGAAAACAATCTTCAAGAAACAAAAGAAACTCTATGAAGACCAAATATTCTCTTTGAATGCGATGAATGGTCTTTCTGCTTCCCTCTTTAAGGCATTTATTTTTATTTACACTCAGAAATAGCGCTCTCCTTTCAATAAATTTTTAAAGAATAGCTAGTCCTATTATTAAAATTGGACTCGAATTATTATTTTTTCGCATCCGCCTGGAATATTTCACTTTTTCTAAAAGAAAATACACACATAAAATTGTAAAGGCTTAATTAGTTAGTCCGTTATCAATGGTTTGTACTGTTAAACGGACCAAAGTTACACAGTGATAACAAACCAATTCATTTACGAGCAAACAAACATAAGTAAATATCAGCCAAAAAAAAGTCTTGCGGTGTTATGAGATTTTCTTTTTAGTCTCCGACAATTCTATACTCACTGACGCTCATTTTGAGAATTGTTTTGCGACATAACAACGAAGGATATTTTTCCTGGGTTTTGGCTGCGGGTCCTGTTGAGATCATTGTCCTTTCATGTTCCCGGCTAGTTTGCAGTAGAGTAAAAGCTATTCTAACGGGGTTTAACTTTTATTAAGATTCGGAGAGTTCTAACTATCGTTCCTGTCTATCTTTTCAGTAATTTTACTATTGATGGTTTTGTAGAGAGAATTTGTACAGTGTAAACGGACTCTTTCCAATAGTGCGGCTTGTCGAACTGTTTGGTTTTATTAGGGCTGTTTTAACAGCTCACTTGCTACAAAATGAAACTAGGAAACTCTGTTTTTTTGGTACAGTTTTATAACCCGAAGGTATAATTTTAATTTGGATTCTGTTTCACACAAATATCCTATTAGGTGAGTCATCGAAGCTTTTTTATGGTAATACTTAAACGGAACCCCTATAACAACAAGCTTTCAAGACTTTTCATTCAGGAATTACCATGATAACGAGCAAGCTATTGTCCGCAAACAAAAGATTATTAAAGCGAAGGAAGTGAAGCTTTTCATAAAGGGCACTTTATTCTTTGGTCTCATTCATTGCCCCCAGCGATTAATCAGCTCAGAAATAGGCAAGGAATTGAAAATGCAAACGACTTTTCATCTAGCGATAAGTAATGAAAAAATAAAACCAAACCTCTCCGACCAAAACCATAATTGAATAAATTGTGAAAAAAACTTCAATAAACTCACCACTTAAAATAATGAAAAAAATCTGTCTAGAGAAAAGGGAATCGCGCCTTGCTTTCCAACAAATTGGCGCGAGCGAGCGCGATAACCATAAAGCGAGGAATTGGTGTCAGGGGTTAAATGTGGAAAAAAAAAAGATTTTTTTGTTGAGTATTTACAGTAAGATCTCGTCGACATTGTCGTTAGCAATTTCACGTCGAGACAAAAGCTTTCATAAGCGAAATGTATTCTTATGCTAAACGGACGAATAAAAGGTTCGATAATTGATCATTTGTAAGGCAATTCGTCGTAAGAAAATGACAGACCCACAGAAAGAATCGGATATTTACTTTGCTTTAGTTTCAATATAAATTAATAATTTCCCAGTGCAAGTTGAATATTAACGCGCTGTTTGCCCAAACTTCTCGCCAGGAGCTTTGGAAGTGCGGAATTGAAGTTTGAAAAGAAAAACATACTCTCTTTTGTTCGCGGCGGCTGGCCTCACAAGGGCCGCAGAAAGCATAAAGATATCTGAATTTTGAGTGCATTGTCCGTGAACAATAGCTCAGCAATTGATGGCTGGAAAACAAAAGTTCGCCTATTGTACTTTCGCTAAACCAAAATAGAAAATTATTTACAAAATCCAAATATCTCTTTGAGACGGCAATCAAGGTAATATTGCTAAACATTTCCAAGGGAGCACTTGAAGAAAAATTTCAAATCTAACTTCCTCTATTTTAATTGGATAGCCTTTTCGTAAAATGGCGTGGTCCGAATACTTTGTGAAAGCGAGAAGGAAACTCAATTATTTCACACGCATGCTCTGAGGTGCGATCTTTGATCTTACCGCGTGAAGCAATCAGCGTATAATTCAGTTTCAACGAGGCACCAAGAACGACGGAGCTTATTTAATTTCGACCACCTAGAAGTACCTAGGAGCTGGAATATTTTCAACATTGTAAGCAAGGCTTCGACACGTCAACATGTCTACGAAACCAGCAGAGCACGTCAAGCGGCCCATGAATGCGTTCATGGTTTGGTCCCGAGAGGAGAGGCGAAAAATTGCTCAAGACAACCCAAAGATGCACAACTCGGAGATCAGCAAAAAACTTGGCGCAGAATGGAAGAAGTTGACAGACGTGGAGAAAAAGCCGTTTGTAGAGGAAGCTAAACACCTCCGAGCCCAGCATATGAAGGACCATCCTGATTACAAGTATAGGCCCAGACGCAAGCCTAAATCACTCCTCAAGAAAGTAGACCGCTATCCCTTCCCACTACCACCGTGTTTACCGACATCCGAAGAATTGCTCAAGTGCACTCCGCCTGGCATCCCAACGACGTCTTTCGTGACTGATCCGTACTCTTCAAGCGTGAATGGTAAAGCGCGATCGTTTCTGCCGGTGTCATCGGCGTACACTTTCGACTCGAGTGCGAACCACTCCATTACCCCATCCAGATTTGACCGCGGACTTGAGATCCCAAACGCCGTCCGACCCGACATGCTGACGGGAGGGCAAATTTTCCCTCATTCACTCTATCCAAGCGCCGCTTCAACGACAAGCTCAGCTCTTCTGAGCTCCTCTGGAATGCCTGTTCTCCCTGGCGGACAGTTAAATCCCCATTCCCATCTTCACGCGATTCAGGGCGCGAATGGACAGTACACCGTACCTTGTAACTGTTCATCGTGGCCGCAAGGACAAGATGTACGGAGGCCGGTCGCCTATCTACTCCTTTAGCTCAAGTGACTGACTTCTAAATCTATTTATCACGATGAACTATTTATGTATAATACAGCAAATAACTGGTGTAAATTATTTCTTATCGAACAAGCAAGAATCTTATTATCCGCGCGTTTAAACATGCCAAGCTTTCCTTTTGGTTTCAACTCTGCTGATGACAAGCATTTCAGTTTATAGTGATGTTGACGATTTTTAACGACCAAATTTCCTACCGCATTAATCGTTGCCCGATTGCAACGTGGTATAGAGTTTGTATATTATAAAGGCTAAGTGTGTGAATATTGAAATATTGAAGCAATTCTTATTCGACTTTATTTGTAGGGTTAGTGGCTAAAGTACTTCGATATTTTTTAACAGTTTCGCCACAAGAGCGATTCCAAACGGTTTAGTCGTTCTTTATTTACAAGAGCGACTTTCACTTGTAATTTAAATTTGACAAAACTAACCCAAAGTTTTCACCGATCTGTCACATTAAAATTAGCATTCAATGTAATTTGTTGTCAAGTTTTGTTGTCTCAGTTGGCCTGTTTGACACTGGCCTTCATCGTGAAGTATGAAAAAATTCCGTTAGCTCTAAAACGTTTTCCCTCGTAAAGTGACAAGCGTTTTTCCAGTCTATCTTGAAAACAAAGGCAGCGACGTTCGTTTACATCTTTTGTGTTTAGGTGTAAACTATATATGTGTGGTTTAAAACAGCAAATAGTTTTGGTACTTTGTCAGTATAAGACAATCTATCGATCACAAGTATTCAAGCAAGGTAACTAAGCTAAACACACATAATATTGGGGCTAATAGCATGGTCGTCGGGAACTGTCTTTTACTTTGGGGTTGCGTTGATTTGAGGGAAGGTGCGTTTGTATAATGATTACAGAAAACCCTAAACAGATGGTATCCCGCAAGGAAAATTATTTCCTTCAAATGCATCTTTGAACGGAAGCATCTGTAATCTCATTGCTGCCTAGAACGCTTTACAAAACAACTCCCCCTTCAATAGATTTAGCTCGATATCCCGTGGCTTCAGTGAAAAACACAGCTGTAGTGAGCTCTTCACAGAAACTCAGCAGTGACTCATTGTAAATCTTGCTTTCGCATATTGATAATTATATAAAAGAAACAGAGAGACAAGAGCGGGGAATAACAACATAATAAAAAATACATGAGGTGTTGAATGGAAAAGATGACATAAATAAATAAATGGACGATCAAGAAGAGATAAAATGAATCACAAAGGTGAATGAATTACAATTGCTCTAATACTAATATCTCCATAACAAAAGATTACATCCACGGAACACAATAACTGAATAGCGGCACAATAGCCTGATCGGTAAATATGGGAGAGACTGGAATGAAAGGCATGGCTTTCCGAATAAACGAGGCAGTGATGAAATGATTCGAATAGGTTTTACATGTTTGTAGATGCTTAAAGAACGCGGTAGGGACACAATCGGTTCAAAGGAAGGGCCGCTTTAAAGTGTGTCTTAAGCAAACAGGTAGAGAAATAAAAGCGACTAACTCATAATCGAGAGTATTCTAATCGTTTTTAGGCCGTTCATAACAAGGATAACGGTGGATATTTCACGTAGATGCGCTAAAAATGCCTGCAAAAAGGTCTTCAGTAGGAAAACGTGCGGATTACATTAACAACTCGAGCAGATGGCAAAACGCGACGGGCCTTTGTAAACTCTGTGCGACATTTATTGGGCTTAAAGAGGCCATGCAAGTGCCAAAAATCAAAGCTTTCAATTATAGCCATTGTCTATTTTATATATAACACAGGGTTTGTTTGTAAAATGTGTTCAAGATGATCTGTTTGCCGATTTTGAGAGAGTTTGATTTCGCCGAGTTTCGCTTCCTTTGCGCGCGAATTTCTTTTTTCGGTTTCGGCGGGAAAATTTGTGCGAAACTTGTGCCTTAAGTAAACGTTTTAAATGCGGATCACGAGGTATTTTTTGCGGCAAATTTTTCGTTTTTTATAGTAATAGCTAAGTCATTAGCTGTCAATGTGTCCTTTCGGCACTTGATTCTATGAAAACATAATCTTTAATCCCACGCTTCTAGGTGTAAGTGAGAGAAAGCGATATCCATAATCGATCAATAGTGTTTGCCGATCGCAGCTTGTTGGTTAAAACCACTCCAGATCAGATTCTTTGACTTGATAAAAAAGACACGTTCCCTGACTTTCGTGAGGGTTCGGAAATGTCAAATACAATTATACAAAAACCCAATATTTGTCAAATTTCGCATTTTTTTAAATGTTAATTTTTTTTCCCTTTGTTCGAAGCCTACAAGCCCTTGCAATCATCAACACCTTATCTACTGGATTTTCAGACTTGTCCTAAATCATGCCATTATACTCTGTGACCTGTTTATTTGTGTTTAATTCTCTCTCCTGCTGAATGTATAAAAGTGAGGAGTGCTTATTGAAAACAACGGCAAATAGCTCTGATTGCTTTTCAATAGCCCGGCGAGCTCTCATTGCAAGAGTAAAAGAGTAAGAGAACGTATGTGATCTTTCCACGGTAATTATAATGCCTCATTCTCACTGGTTCACAGTCTTAAAAGGTTCTTCTTCTAAATGGAATGAAAAAAATAATAATAAATAGAAAATTGAAGCGATTTTTAACTTTAAGAGTTGGAAAGTGACTTAAAGGGAAGATATTTTAAGAGTAATTTACGCGAGTTTGACCGTGCTAGTGATACTGCAATGTTGATTGAACGTGTTAAAGTGAATTGAGCCTTGTCTGATAAGCTCAGTACTGTACCACTGTCTACCCATCGCCTGGAGCGTTGCGACTTAATTACCGATGAAACAGAGACGCGGAACACAAGCCTAAGTTTTCCCAAAACTATTACAATTACTCAATTGCATTGAACGACAGAACAAAAGAGGGTGAAAGCTTGAGGTCTTGATTCATTACTTCTATGCGAAACTGAGACGCAAAAATGCTCTGGGCAAATAGGCCTTTATAGGAAAATAATGGGTTGATCATCAAGTGCCTTACCTAAATATATTTCGCATTATTTATTAATGCAAATGTTTAAACTAAAATGAAAACTTTCATTATGTACGATGTTTCTAGAGTAATAAACGCCGTTAAGTGGGATTTTATCGGGAGGCCTTCCGTAGCTAGGTGAATATTCTTGCCAGTAAATTACGGATTTTCAGTCAGCTCCGCGACTTGCGATCGATTTCAAGGGGGACTTTTTTACTTACGCGGCAGTCGTAAAATTTTCATTTATCCGTACCATGCTTTTAAAATCGAGTCCCAAAATCGATAAAAATTACCAATAGGGGGTAAACGTCGAAACATATTAATTTCACAAATGAGTTCAGTTTCTATTTTCATAAACTAGAAAAAAGTTAATGGAAACAAAAAGAAATTGGATGGCAATCAAAGAAACGTTATTCTTTTTTTTCCCCACCACATTCCACTTCCTGGAACTAGAGGATTAGTTTAAACTGTAACATTTTCGTTTAGTTATTAGCTTTCATAGAATACTGCGTTTATCAACGTTTCATTAACAAGGGATTACAATCAAAATTACTTGCTATGAACTGTCTCGTATGCAAATATCGGTGATAAAATTCCCCGGTAAAATCCCCATTTTGTAGGTCGATAACATCAGTGGGTAGACGTTAACACGGGCCTGTCATATCGTCAAGCATGACAAACTGACAATGTATAACAATATATCGCTAAGTTCTTGTAAGCGTTGCCGGCTTTTTCCGCGTAGATCGCTGAAAGCTCTGGGATATGTGGAGCCCACTATCGCAGGCCGGCGGTTTATGACATTATGTCATGCATATTATTAGCTCAAAATCAAAATGGCGGACCAAATAGAGGCTAAATACTTCTGATGTTTTCTTTTCATTCTCGTGCATTTTTGGGAGTATGAGTTGGTTTTTTGGATCACAAAAGACATCGATTAGGGTCGATGGCGGTTGTTGACGAAACGTCGTTGTTTCCTAGTTTGTCTAACTTAGCAATGCTTGAAAAGTGTTCATTCGATTCGGTTATTATTCCGATCCAAGGCGGACAAGACCCTAAAAACTGCAATATATACTATAATTTAATTTAACTTAATAGTTTTACAATACAGAAAAACTACACATTGTAGGAAAACCCCTCAACAGGAAAAACCTAGAATAGCTCCCTCCGTAACTTATGAGGTTTACTTAGAATTTTTCTTTCAAGATCTAGAGCATTCATAAGCGACAATTGTCGCTCTCCGTCGATCACCCAAAATATTTACCCAGTGTTGCAGAACCCGAAACAAAGAAGCGAAATTTCAGAATTAGAAAAAGAGTAAAAAGTAGTTATCTATAAATTAAGCAAAATTTCATGTCGTCCATGATAAAAATAGAATAATTTTCGTTATAATTCTAATTTTTGTTATAGTCCTGCATGCATGACGTCCTGAAAATGACTTCGAAGGAGACCAACTTGTAAACTATGCAAAATTACCTCAGTATTAGCTCAAGGGCCATTGTTGAAAGACAGTTAACATTGGTTATCTTGTTAAACTGTCAGTAAGGCCTGTCTGAAATACAGTTGAACATCCATGTGTGACCACCTTGTCAGCAACCAAATATCTAAAAACCAAAATAAGTTTTCCCAGTCAAGACACTATGTTTAGAACCAGTGAACATGAACACCTCATATAAACAACAAACAAATCTTGTATTTTGACAGCATTTAAAATATTGTTGAATGCTCACTCTGAGAAGAGGCATTTCATGTATGTATATGTTACAGGTCAAATTTGATTTCAGGTTAATTTCCAATTAACCTAGGTTGATTCTCAATTTCCTTTGTTTCCTAGTCCTAATTCATGAATAATTAGGGTTAGGAGAAAAAGGAAATTGAGGATCAACCTAGGTTAAAGTTTTTTAGCCTGAAATCAAATATGTTCTGTAACATATACATGACAGTGTCCCTGTGGGTGTTGATCAATATTTTTGTTTTTGCATTTGCAGTATCACAGAAGTACAA